CCACCCTTTCACCCCAAAAGATCCAAAAGGACAAGAGACCCTAACACAAGCCTCCCTCCGAGAAACCCCTGGTCAAATCCGGCCCGGGAAGGGGCTTCCACTCAGGTAAAACTCCTTGCACAAACCCAGGGCTAAGGCCCACTCCCAATTCATCGTTTAGTCCATAGTCGGTAAACTGCGCCAACAAGCCACAAGTGGCTCGTGACCACAGGTGCCGAGCCGCCAGTTTGCCGACCACTGGGTTAGTCCTTATACCAACTGGCCCCTACAGATGAGAGTTAATGCTCAGAGAGCGGGCATGACTTGCCCAAGGTCACTGAGTAAGTGCACAGCTGAGTTTCAGACTCAAGTGCGTCCAGTCTGCAGACCCTGACCCGAACCCCCCAAGTCTGCAGCTGGACACCGTCGCTGCAGGAGGCTCGGCACCCCAGGCTCCCCGGGGTCCTCCCCCGGCGGTGCTGCCTGAGGGGCGTGGGCGGAGGGCTGACTGAAGGAGCGGGGAGGGTGCAGGTGGGGGGACAGACAGGACGTACCCAGCACGCTGAGCCGCACCAGCTTCTGGTCTCGGCCGGCGGCATTGAGGGCCTCGCACATGTACGTCCCGGAGTCTGCCAGCTGCGCCCGGGCCAGCTGCAGCGTGTGGGTGCCTGCCAGAGGGGGTGGGGTGTCAGCCCCTCGCACCAGCAACTGGGCTGCCTCCCAGACTCTCAGCCTGGTCCCCACAGAGCTGGGCCCCAAGCCTCAGTTTACCCACCAGGCAGGAGGAAGACGTCTTCTCCCAGGGAGAGGGCCTGGCCGTCCTTGTACCACGTGACCTCGGGGCTCGGGTGAGCGCGGACGTCACAGGGGAGGGACACGCTGCTGTTGAGGATGGCGGTGACCTGCTCTGAGTCCAGGCCTGTGATGTGTGGTGGGACTGCCCCGTGGCCACCGGATAAAGAAAGACACTTGAGGATGCACCCGGCGGGGGAGGGGAGAGCGACAGCGGCAGCACAGGACTCAGCTCCCGGCCTCAGCTGGCCGCGCTGTCGAGCAACGCTGTGCAGCTGCCTGTTCATCACCACCGCTCACAGATGGGAGCACGGGGCGTGGGGACCAGAGAGGGTCAGTCACTTTCCCGTGGCCACTCAGCCGGCCAGTAGCAGGTTTGAGTCCTAGACCTTGAGTGCTCAACGCTGTCACCCTCTGTTCCCGAGGCCACAGCTGGAGGCTGAGCGCACAGCCACGGAGGGGCATGCGTCACAAGAATGTGGCGGTCAAGAGGGCCAGCTCCGGGGCAGTGACCCCCACTGGGTGACCTCTCTGTTTCTGCAGCTGTGGGGTTGGGCCAGTGGATGGCAAACTGCGGCCCCTTGAGTGTGGCTCTTCCACAAAATACCACGTGAGGGCACGCACGTACAGTGCGATTGAAACTTTGTGGCCACACTCAAGGGGCCAAAGAGCCGCATGTGGCTCGCGAGCCGCAGTCTGCCGACCACTGGGTTGGGCTAACCTCTGAGCTCTGCGGGAAGGAGTCGGCCCCAGGCCAGGTACGCAGTAAGTGCTTAATCATGGTGCCGTAAGGCCAGAAGAGCCGCTCCCCCGACCACCTTCAAAGTGGCTTAGAGTCATCTGGGGATGGCCCTGGGCGATCGAGGTCCCCTAGATCCTCTCTGTCCTGGGATGTGGCTGGTGCCAGGCCAGGATGACTAACCTCTGGGTGCAGCCTCGGGGCCTGGGACACAGGAAGCACGAGGTGGTGCCCTCAGGGAGGGACTAGGTGCTGTGCCTGCCACGGAGCAGGTCGAGTGGGCCCGGGCACCAGCCTCTCCTCAGCCGGGGAGCCCCAGGGGGCCGCCTGCCCTGCCCAGCTCACCTTGCACCCTAAGTGTGAAGAGCTTCTCCACGGAGCCCGCCGGGTTCTCGGCCACACACATGTAGCTGGCAACGTCGGCCACCTCTGCTGTGGAAACCTGTGGGTGCAGAGAGAGGGCGCCTGGTGGCTGTGGTCCCCCTTCCCGGGAACCACTGGGAGGGACCCCCCTCACCACACCAGGCACGGCGGGCACCAGGAGGAACCCCGAAGAAGGCCACCTGTCTACATGGAGCGGTGTGTAGGGGCTCCACTGATGGGCACGCACACCCCACATCCGTCCAGGGCAGTGGTTCTCAACCTTCTGGCCCTTTAAATACAGTTCCTCATGTTGTGACCCACCATAAAATTATTTTCGTTGCTACTTCATAACTGTCATGTTGCTACTGTTATGAATCATAATGTAAATATCTGACATGCAGGATGGTCTTAGGCGACCCCTGTGAAAGGGTCGTTCCACCGCCAAAGGGGTCTCGACCCACAGGTTGAGAACCGCTGGCCTAGGGCTTTCTGTGACACAGGAGGGGAGTGTGAGGTTGGGCTGGGTGACCCCCTATAGCAAACACGATGGTCTCCCCCCAGTTCGGAGGAGGCTGCTCTATGCTGTGTTGAGCTGCAGGGGTCCCGGGCAGCTGTGTCTAGAAACTGGGTGGCCAAGGGTGCTGCCCAGGGCCCTGAGCCGCGCTGGCTGTAGGTGCGACATCAGCAGAATTCCCAGGCGCTACGCTCGCCCGTGCCTGCCCGCGAGGCACATGGTGGCGGTGGACACGCATCCTTGGGGGGTTGGATGAAGCCCGGGAGCTCCCGCAGGCTCTCGGGCAGGGACCTCATTTGGCTCAGATAACGGCAGCTCCTGGTCCGGGCCAGCACCCCTGAGCCTCGGCAGCTGCTGCCTTTAGCCACGGCGGGGGACGCCCTGACCTGCAAGACTTGCCCGTCCTCCAGGACCTGCAGCCGTGGGCTCGGGGAGAAGGGCAGCCCGTTCTGGAGCCACGAGATGGTGGGCATGGGGTTGCCCAGGGCTGGACACTGTAGGCTGACAGTGCTGCTGGCATTGACGGTCACCTCCTCCACCAGCTCCTCCGTGTCCCCCGGGATCACAGGTGGGGCTGGGTGGGGGAGAGGAGGGTGAGGAGCAGGCAGCCTCCCTGGGAAAGGTCCCTGGGCAGGGGGGGGGGGTAGGCATGGAGGTGAGAGCAGCGCTTGGTGCCAGGCATTGGCTGGGCTCCTTGTGCCCCACTCCCCAAGCCCTCCCAGGCCCTGGTGCAGCTGAGGAATCTGGGGCACAAAGAGGGCTGTGAACTAACTGCTCCAGGTCACACAGCTAGGAGTTTGAACCCAGTCCTGTCTGGTTTCAGAGCCCAAGCTCGCAACCCCTACATTATCAACCTCCAAGTCCTGCCAGACCATGTTCCCCACTGTGACTCCTGGGGGGGGGGGGTGCTCACGGAGCCTGCAGACGTGACACCCCCCTCCCACCCCCAAGGCCGGCCACTCACTCAGCACCATCAGCTCGTAGTGCAGCCAGTCCTCGCCCACCTCGTTGGAGGCCTTGCACGAGTACCTCCCAGCATCCTCTGCACGCACCAGGGGAATCTGCAGGACCCGGCCTCCTGTGGGGAGAGGGATGGGGGGGGGACAGAGGCTTGGGGGATCTGGGACACATCACCGCCCCCCCAATCCCCATCTGTGAAATGGAGAGCATCTGCCCGCCCCGCCCAGCTCTCGGGGCTGGGGCACCAGGCCTGGCCGCACCTCCCTGCTCTCTGACTCGGTGCTGTAAACACTCCCATCTCACAGATGGAAAAACTGAGGCTTCCCAAGAGCACCCCGCAGTGCTGAGCCCAGCTCCTTGATGAGGGCAGAGGGAAGGGCCAGAGAGCTGGGCAGAGGCTCTTGGGAGGCAAAGAGGCAGCTGCGGGCTGTGGCGGTTGGGGGTGGATGTTGCTAGCAGCTGTCATCTGAGACCCTCTGTGATCCAGAGCCTGCCAGGGCCAGACCCTGGCATCTCTGGGGGCTGGAGCTGGTCTCTAGCAGGGGCCGAGTGAGGGTCACTGTGTGCTCACATTCTCGGTCAGGGGCTCGCTGGCCCAGGCTGGGTGTGTGTGTGTGTGGGGGGGGGGGGGTTGTGACCAGGGTTGGAACTAGGGGCTCATTACATGCAGAGCCAGGGGACAGCGGTCATGATTAAGGAGGGAGGGAGGGGCCACCGTCAGGGTCATTTATGTGTGAGGTTAATCTATGTGCTCGGGATTGGGAGTCAGTGGCCAGGGTCAGAGTTCAATGGTGGGGCTGAAGGTTTACGGCGAGGACAGAGGGTCGGAGCTGTGGCCAGGGAGCAGCATGTGACTGAGGTCTCTGTGTACCCAGGATTGGGGCCAGTGTCCCGTCCGAGAGGAGGCGAGGGGGTCAATCCAGGGGTTCTGACAGGAGCAAACAGCTGTCAGCAAGCGCTGCCCCTCTCGGATCTCTGAGGCCACCTTCTTTTGCAAGAGCCAAAGTACAAGCCCTGGGGTGACCCTGCTCAGCAGCACCCCGCACCCCACCTCACCTCCCTCGCCCCCGCCCTCAGCGGCCCCGGCACTGCCCACGCCTGGCAGGACCTGGGGCCAATCCTGAGCCGGGAGACGGCCGAATCCCCCCTGAGACACACCGGGCTCTGTGCCCGAACGTCTCCCAGGTCTGCTCTACCCCAGGGAGCTCGGCCAGCCGCCAGGGAAGCCGGGCGTTTGGAGCCTTTTAATTCAAAACCCTCCACAGAAAAAAAACTATTCTAAATAAAAAGGTTGTTTTTTAAAAAAACTAAATCACCTTAAATAAACATATAAAGCAGCAAAAAGAAAGCAAAGGTCACAAGGGCCCGAGTTTGGCCCCGGCGTGGCCCTCAGCCCAGTGGGAGGTTCTTCTGCTGTTGGGATGATCACGAGAGGCCAATAAAGCAGCGGCTTCTGCCCAGCTGCTGCCGCTCAGGGGTTGAGCATCGACCTATGAACCAGGAGGTCACGGTTCGATGCCCGGTCAGGGCACAGGCCCGGGTTGTGGGCTCGATCCCCACTAGGGGGTGTGCAGGAGGCAGCCGATCAATGATTCTCTCTCATCATTGATGTTTCTGTCTCTCCCTCTCTCTTCCTCTCTGAAATCAATTAGAAGGAAAAGCAGCAGCAGCGGCAGCGGCTCCCTCTAAGAAAGACGTCGGCTTCAGTGGTTATTTCCGGACATCGCAGATCTCGAAGCCCAGAGAACTTCCAGCGCCGGATTTCAGAGGCGGCGAAGGCCCAGCCTGTCAAAGGCCCTGCCCGAGGCCACACAGCAAGCAGCACGAGGGGGCGCCCAGAGGACCGGCAGAGGGCAGCTGAGGGGACCAGCTCCGATGCGGGTGTGACCCCGGTCCCTGCCTGCAAAGGCCCCGACTTCTCCGCGCAGCCCCGGCCTACCTTGCAGGACAGACACCCCGTCTGTGGCCGAGAGGGGCTGGTCCTCCCTGTACCAGGTGAGCTCCGGGGGCGGGACCGCGTTGGTGTCGCAGTACAGGTATGCGGGGTTGTTCTCCACGACCTCCCGGTATTCCGTCACCCCGCCCCGGGCCTCCTCCTCCCGGGACAGGATTTCGAAGGTTGCACTGGCATCACCCACCTTCTGGAACATGGGGGGCACTGGGGAGGGGCGACAAAGGCATTACGACACACAGCGTGGGATGGAGAGGGACCTCTGCTCAAAGGACCCCGTCCCGGCCTCCCCCGGGAGTGGACATTGCACTGTTTGAGCCAATCCCGTAGGTCAAGGCGTTTTTAAAATTCACTCATCCCTTCAACTGGTGGTTTTTTATTTTTGGGGTTTTTTTGCAATGAGTGTTTATTGAGCAATGTCTGTGCTGGGCACAGGAATGAGGCTCCTGCCCACCGCAGCTCATGTCTAATGGACGCCAGACTTCTCCTGACAAGGTGGTTTTTTTCAAGGGAGGGAGCCAGATCCTGAGCTTTAGCCAGCGTGTTTACTGGAGCCCAGAGGATAAAATCATGGGCTTTTAGAACTGAGGCGCCCCTCAAGGCCACCCCATTCAGCCACCCACATGTTACCAAGGCAAAACTAAGGCCTAGGGGGCAGTGATGTTCCCAGGTCACCAAGTCAGTGAATGGAAGAGCCCAGGCCAGGCTCTGGGCGCCAGACATGCCAGACGGTGGTGAGAAAGGGGATGGACCGCCCGGCTGGTGTTGCTCAATGGTTAGCATCGGCCTATGAACCAGGAGGTCACGGTTCGATTTCTGGTCAGGGCACATGCCCGGGTTGTGGGCTCGGTCCCCAGTAGGGGATGTGCAGGGGGGCAGCTAATCAATGAATCTCTCTCATCATAAAAGTTTCTATCTCTCTTTTACTCACCCTTTCCTCTCTGAAATCAATAAAAATATATTTAAAAAAGGGGGGGGGCAGGCAGGCGTGACAGAGACCTTCTTGCCCACGACTCTGGAGCCAGACACCCCCGCCTCCAGCCATGCCGCCCAGGTTCCCAGCGCCTGCCCCCACCAGGCCCCTGTGGTACCCACAGACCCGGTATTCACCGCGTAAAGCCCGGGCGGCTCCCCGCCACATTTGTGGCAGCATTTTAAGGAACCCCACCAATATCATGAAACCCGGGGAGCGGTGCCCGCACCTCCCCCCCTCCCGTGACAGCATTGACGTCTTTTGAAGAAGAATTTAAAGGTGTGGGGGGGACAAAAATCCAAAACGCGTTCTGTAAATGGGGTGGGCCATCCTTTTCTCTTGATATCTTTT